AATACATATCGTTTATAATTAAAATAAAATTAATTTCCTTATTTTTAAAATAAAAATAATAATTACTAAGCAATAATTACTTTTTACCATACATAATAAACTCAAAAATATTATAAATATGATTTCAATTCGTGTGTCCGTGTTTAAGTTAAAAAGATTCTAGGATAAATTGGGGTAATTTTTTAAAAAATCAAACAATTAAATTACAATTATATCTAAAAGACATAAATTAAGAATAATGATCATACTTAAAAGTTAAAATTAAGGTGCCACACCACTAATAGTCTAATACCTTATTACTAAGTGAAAACTGTAGTTGATTAAATCGGGGCGAATTTATCATATGAAAAATATAAAGAATCTGTTATTAAAAATTGTCAAAATTTAACGCAAAATGCCATAATCCTGTGCTTTAAGAGAAGGGCATGGAGTGAAACAACTCCATTAGAACTACTTTTTATTTTAACGGAGCTTATCATGGGTAGTCGACAAGTATTCCAATAATATAGCGCTTAAAACTCAATTAATTTTTTTTTTCCCTTTTCGTCTCTCATTATTTAATTCTCCACAACAATATACTATTGAATTATAATAGCTTTTTTTTTTTTTTTTTTTGTTTCTCGCTCGGTATCTGGGGATTCATCCCGACTAATTCGGATCCGACCCGCGTCGCGCACCTGAAAATGGTGGGTGACTCTCCCAGCGGGGGCTGCTGCGTATACAAGAACTCGAACTCGAGACCTTATTTAAACTGAAACAAGCCGCTTACCACTTAATCCAACCCCTCGGTGAATTATAATAGCTTTTACCGTTATTGAAAGGAAACTAATACTAAGTTATTAATTTCAAATTCAATTATTAACTGGCTAAAATCTAATATAATCAAGTTACAATTAAGTAGCCACAGTCATCAATCATCAGCATCAAATATACATCTCTCATTTGGTCTGGGCTCTTAACAACTATAGAATTTAATCTTTAATATACAGAATGCCTAAATCAATTCTCAAAATTAGTTAGTGGGATTGATTTATTAGTAAATAAAAAATAAAGGTAAATTTACTTAAAAATTTTTAATTTTAAAAAAATATTTTAAATTTAATTTGTGATGTGAAATGACATTAACAATTTATTAAAAATAAATTAATTAATATTATAATAAATTAATAAATTA